ACAGTTTTTATTAAATATATATATTTTATAATTTAAATTATAACCAATTGTATAATTTAAACTATTAAATAAGAGGTAGGTTTTCTTATATTAGAAACTATTTCTAACCTAATAGCTTATGCTTTGCATAGTTAGAACTCAAAAACATAGGTTCAATATTAATTTGATCCTTGAACTATTATATGAACCCCTAATTTGGTCAATAAATTAAAAAAATTCATGATTTGGTCCTTAAACTATTGTACGGATTCTAAATTTGGTCAATATTGTTTATCAATTTGCCCTAAGTTGATCATTCCGTACAAAAAACAGTTGATGTGTCTCGTTATTAATGTGACACATGGTCGTTAAGTAATTGTTTTTTGTTGTTAAATAACGGATATGTCAATTGTTTTTTGTATGAAAATGACCAACTTGAGGCTTAATCAATAAACATTAGGGACCAAATCGGGGGTCCATATAATAGGTCAAAGACCAAATCGATTTTTTTAGTTCAAGGACCGAATTGAGGTCCGTACAATAGTTTAGGGACCAAATTGAGGGTTTAACCTAAAACATAATATTCCGTTTATATATATATATATATATATATCAACAACTTGTTAATCCTAGTAGAAGGAATTCGATTTCTCTTAAATAAAATCTTAAGTTCAAATCTTATGAATGGAGAAACATGTTCTAGAAAAGTTTTTTCCGAATTAATTCGTGTCCAATGTAATTTTTGAATATTAGAATGTTAGTACTAAATAATAATAATATTCTTTTTTATAACAGTAACAATAATTATTAAATATCAAATTATCAACATTTTTATTTGAATTGTTTTTATTTGAGGCTTGAAAGAAGCCTGGCCTGGGCCTCCCTGAGCTCTCTAATTCCGTTCTTTAGGCCGGAGATCCGAGAGAAGGGCGCCGCAAGTCCACAGGTTTCCCGGTTCTGGGATCAAAGGTCAACCGTCAACTAAGGTAGCAGAAAGGTTGCTGTGATTTTCTATTTCAGTTTGTTGGATTCATTGTTAAAGTACACATTTGTCCTCCTTTTTCTTTTTTAATTTAGTCACCATGTGAATCCTCCTCTAATTTAGTCATTTATGAAATTATTCTAGTCCCCTTGACCCGTTAAGAGTTCGACAACCCGTTAAGAGGCTCAACGCAGCAATATTCCACGCCGGAGAATGTTGCGGCTCATGAGCTACGGTGAAAAAGATGTCCTGGAATCAGAGGCGGCAATCGCTCCTGCAACTGCCCCTGCTCCCTACTAATCATGTTGAGGGAGTTTGGGATTCAATTTGTGGAGCGTGACATTGTATATATGAACTTTGTGCTGATTTTTTCTGTTTCC